TCTTCAATATATCCTAAATATTCATTATTTGATGCTATTGCAATGCAATCTGATGTATTTTTTATTTGTGTTAGATCAAACTTTTCACAATCGGATAATAAAATTTTTTCATTAATACTTTCATGTGCACTATTAAGTGTATCAGCAAAGTTATTTAGATGACTAAGAAAATTAACTTTAACCATTGGATCATTATTTATACCCCAATTTATATTAGATTTTTGAAGATATGGTACATAAATATCCGATATTGATCGACTTAATGCTTGAAGTAATGATTCAGTATAACATTCGAATGTATAAAATAGAACTTCCTACAAAAAATAAAATTCAAACGAGATATATGACAAAAACAAAAATAAGTTTGTTTTGAAAGCATACATTGGCTATATTTTGTTCTGTAATGATAGACTTTTTTGAATTGCGTATAAAACAAAGACATATTCCTCGAAGACGTTGTTCATTGAGATCAGCTATGATCACTTTAGGTTTTGCTGGTTTTGCACTACTTGCACCTGAACGACTAGAATATGGTGAATAAGCTGGACGAGCATTATCAACTAGAAAGAAATTATATGATAGATTTTAAAAATATCTATATAAATCTTTTATACTACCAGCTTGATTATTTTCGCTTTCAGGTTCTTGATAGAAAAAAATAAGATATTGACAACCATCAGCATTAAAAAATTTATTCATAAAGTTAAACTAATGTAAGAAAAAGTTAGTTTTGAATGATATTATATTAGAATCGAATACTCACATTGACACTTTCGAGGACATTATCTTCAACTGCGGAACGATCTTTATCAATGCGTGTTGCAATAATATCGAATAAATATCGATGGCGTTCATCGAGACCTGAACGTTTTTGCTCACGTTCGTCACGAAGACGTTGCTAAGAAATATAATAAACAGAAAGTATTATTATGTGTAAACAATTTATATTAAATAGCTCACCGCATATTCAGCAACCGAGACATTCGGTCTCGGGCGTGAAAACATTTTACTAATTTTATTCTACGATATTTCTTCTTATATACAAAAAAGAATAATTGTTGTTATAGTTACTATCTTTGTATACTTTCTTATATTAACTTCTTTTATCGCTTCACATAAATGAAGATGAAGAATCTTTTATGCATATATATATATATATGTTGTTAGGTGAGACAATGAATGTGTATCGACGAACTAAAGATTTCTTACTCGTCAAAGTCAAATAAAAGAATACAAAAGTAATACACAGACGTAGATAAAGAGATATTTGAAATAAGAGAATGAGTTCTTATTTAATTTTAAATAAAAATCAAAGCAAATGCAAACAATAAAATGAATATTTATAGTTTTGCTGAACAGACATTGAACGAGAAAGAAAAATAAAAAAAAAGTAATAATTGGAACTAGATTGATTCATGATGACTTGGAAAAGTAAAGAGCTATTTGACATATTGAAGAAAATTTTATTTTATCGATCATGATGAAAACCATATGCTCATTCATGTTCTCCGTAATAGGTATGCTCGTTGACTTTCTTTTTTTACGACGCACAGGTGCTGTTCTACTATGTTTTTATGGAGAAAAAGATTCTTTTTTTTCTATCATATTCTTCGATCAAAAACTACTTGATATTATTATTGTCTATACACAAATAGAAAAGTTCTTTTTGATGATTAATTTTAATTAATTATATATAATAAAGATGTAAAAGCGAACGATTTGTTCGTATTCTTCACTTATGTAAATAAGAATCCTGTAAAGGCTTCTCTTCTTTTTCTGTCGTTGTTCTACGCACAAAAGTAAAAGAAAAAAGATTAAATTTCTATTGTTTTCTCTGTAAATATTTCTTCTTGTTATTTTAATCATTTCTATTTGAAAAGGTAATGTAATCACCTGTATGTCATTAATATTTTCTCGGCTAATTGTATTGATATGAAGACGATTTTGAAGTTGTTGTCGGAAATTGGGAAATTTTGATGATGCCATAAAAATATTGATTATTTCACTGAATGGTTTTGTCAATTACCATATGTAATTGTTAAAAAGAAATAACAAATCTTTCTAAAGAGAATAGACATATTGATTTCTTTTTGTAAGATATTTTTCTTTCTGCAAATAAATTTTTCTTTATTGATCTTTAATCAGTAAATCGAGAAAGGTAATAAATAGCTACTTGAGATAACTCAATTTTCATTGCCTTCAGTCATAATTGTATTAAGTACTATGACAACAATGAATAAGTTACTAGAGTAATCATGTTAGAAAAGTAATTGCTTTAATATTTAGACTTGTTTTTAGATCATGAATAAAAAAAATTGAAGGACTTCAAAATAGTTTTCTAAATAAGTGCTTAATTAGTCAGTAGATGCCACTAATAATCATAAGTTTGGAACATCCTACAATTGACAGTTTTTGATAGGCACCCGATCATTTGGTTTTAAAACACTTCAACACAATAAAGAAATAGTTCTCCTAGATTTTCACAGGTGCTCTTTCTTATGAAGTGGTTATTAGAACTCAGAGGTACTAGAAAGTGGTTTTTTGGAAATTTTTGGTTTTCCAGAAGCCACAGTGACTTTTAGAAAAGCTTTTCAGAGCCTTGTAGAAAGTTATTCAAAAATCCACTTATCTGGAAATTATTTTTTATTGAATATCTAAATAAATTGTCTTGCCATGCTTTGGAAAATGATATCAAGAGCTCTGACTAGGAAAAAAAGAATTTCGTCGCACATTATAGTGTACGTCGCCCCCTCTTCGCTTGTTTTTCATGTAGTTGACTGAGTCATTAAGCTTCGTTCGCAAATTCTAAATCGTACTTGCAAGTCATTTTGCAAATTTCTACTTTGTATAAGCTCAAGATACTTAGATTGATTTAATGAAAACTAAACTAAATGAAAATTCAAAATAACTCATTATATACAAGCATACTGCTAAAAAGACTATCGTCTATGACTGGACTTTGTGAAACATTGATTCCGTTTAAAAACCATTGAAAGACATGTTATTCTATGCAATTTCTTAAGTTGATTTTGAATGTATGATTACTTTTGCTTTGAAAATATTTCTGAACCGAAAAAAAATCAGCAAGAATCTGGAAAATCACTGAAGTTCGGGCCAGAAGCAATTATGTATCTTAATATTAATCGAGTAGATATTTCAGATCAAGAAAAACATGTAATGAAAACTTCATGAGGTTTGAGGCTGTGTTTAAGTGTGCGCACCCACTATGCTGAACACGTCTCTTCGGAATATTCTTAGTTGAGAAAAAATGTACACTTTTCCTGTTGGAAAAGTGTTCGAACAAAGTTTTTTATTATACAATTAATATCTAATAAAAAGAAATTGTTAATGGCTCTTAAAATAGTTTTTCAATTGGAAAGATCGAAAATCCTTTTCTAATTTGAAATAAATCGAAAACATATTATTCTACTTTATACATTTCTCTCGAAATGAATCCTACATTGAATTAATTAAAATCCCAAGCATCTTTTTCATATTGATCTTCTTCTTTTGTTGATCGAATTTGTTTATCGTTGTTAGATTTGTTTACTCTATTCTCTGTATCTGAAATGAACGAAAAAAATGAAAAATTAACATAAGAGCTATAATTTGGATGATTCCAGTTCGTCCTAATGTTTTTCACTCCGAAATCACTTGGCGATGGAAATAGGAGGATTGCTTTCATAATTTATTGAGTAGAGATGAATTTGTGTAGAGTGTAAATAGTATTAGACGGGATTAATCCATTTTTCATTTTCTGATACAGTAATGTTTAACTTATTCTACCGAGAAAAGATCAGATAAAAGTGATGGAGACAACAATTGAATTGTGAAGATACTAAGGATGTGCACTAAGCCAAGAAAGTAAGGTGAAGTCGATGCGAAGGACAGCGGTGATGACTACTACCCTACAATCTTGTCGACCAGAGTCGTGGTCGCACCTAACAATAACTGGAGATTTTTTTAAGTATTTGTTGTGCTATTTTTGTTCTTGGAATAATGTTTCATGTCTCAACAACAAATAAAGTTGTAACGAGAGTATTTCTTGATCAACGTTGTTCACAATTTAATATATAAATTTAAAAAATGAGTGTCAATATGAGGTAATACAATTAACGGCATTTAATAAAGTTTTTTTTTTTATTTCCTAGTTAAATATTATGCACGAAAATTTTTAACAGTACAACAATCTTATTGTGTATTTGTACAATAACAGCAACTACAGAAGATGGCTATATTTGTTATAGTTTTGATTATTAGAAGGTCCATGATCATATATATATATATAGTAAGCTATTCTCTTCTTCAACCTATAGAAATTCGGTCAACATATGTTTTTAGTAGAAAAAAATATCAAAGCTACTAATGATAATAAATGCAGGTTTTCTGCAAGATAGTAGGTTAGTTCGTATCTGTTTATTATATTTTGTTGTAATCTAACGAACTGTATCAGTGTTTATTTGGTTGATCATTTAGCTGTTGATTTATATATACTCATCCTATTAAGCATCGAAAATAGTAACACTCTTATTTCACATTCAAGTAAAAAAGTCAATAGTGAAAATGATAACTCATTTGATCAAAAGTAACGATTCTCTCGAGAGTTAAAGTCTGTATTGTAGAGAAAAGTAACAGCAAATTCACCAGAAACCAAACGTTATTCTGTATGTTTTCTTGTGAAAGTTGACAATCATCGAAGTATCTTTGAAAATATGCTCAAGAAAAACTACACATCTGCTGCACGAAATTAAATATCAATTGAATCAATTACTTTCTTCTCATTAGCTTGTAATAGTCAGCAAGATTGAAATGCTTTGTACATGATTGCTGACTTTCATCATTTCAATTAATTCATTAAAGAACTCATTTGTTTAATATTTATTTGAATTTTCATGTTAAAATATATTCGTATGTAACATATATTTGACAAGAATATTTTAATAAAACTGATAAATATAAAATACAATTCACTGTTTCATTTATTTATTTATTTATATTCACTATGAAAAAATAAATTTTGGATTATTGATTGTAACTGCTGTCATTGGTGTTGAAGTATTGTCAGTTAGTGGCATTCTTTTTTTTTGTAATCGGTTCATGTGTGTCGGATGATATGGTGCTCTAGTTGTTGTTGATACTTCACCACCAAGATCATCTCTATTTATGCTGATTAGCATTGGTCGCATTGTATACCCTTTACAAAATAGTACAGCTGATGCATGTTGACCTTTTGATGATGCATTACATCCACCACAAAGACGGCCAAAGCTTTGACGAAATTTTGTTGACATGATAGAATAAAGTATTGGATTGATCTATTGATTAGAAAATGAAAAAAAAAAACATAAATTTCATGTTCATAAGAGAATTGTGTGAGTACATCATTGTGCATGCCAGAGACAGACGATACTGTTCCCCTTTCTTTCTCGATGAATACGTTTCGAAAGCGTGAAATCGTTTCTTCAGTGTTTTGTTAGCACTAACAGAATCATAAGAGGGCACAACATGCGCTCCACGGAGATTGACGCAACGTAGCATAGACGTACGTTAGAGCGTGGAATAGTCTTGTTTATTTGGGTTCTTATTTTACGAGGAAAATAAGAAAAACTACTTGTACAACTCCTTTGCCGGAGTTTCTCAAAAACAGCTTGACTAGAATTCCGGAAACTTTCTGGGTACATAGATCTTGACTAGTAGAGCAAAGGTTATCATAGACTGAATACTTCTGTATGCTTCATTCTATGATATATAAATGACGCCAGGACAAATAATGACCTGAAGTTTTCTCCCGAAAGCGTCTATAATTTATTTTTTATGGCTGAGTCTTTTTTTTGTAACAAATAGGACCAATTGAAGCGTATATGTTTATCCATCTTTGCAAAATATTGTTTCCTTTACTTGGGAAAGTCAAAATACTGGACATCCCGTCACAAAACCTATCTTTCATGTCCACACAAAATTTTGTAAAATTTGTCAAAGATCATCAGAATACCATTCAAAGAAAAACATACATATAAATATGCACTGATTTGAATCTTTTGTTACACAAAAAGTTCTAGCTCAATCAATTGAACCGTCTTGGGAAAAGGAGGAAAACTCCAATTTTTCTGTTCAAAAAGTGATTTTGAGAACAACGGAAAAGCATTTATACTTTTCACTAATTGGTTTCTTCTCGTATATTTTAAATTGTAAAGACAATTTTTGGATCCCAAAATGTGCTCAGTAGATAGATATCACTTCGGACTTACAATGTTTACAAAAAGAACCAAAGATTAAAAATTTGATTTATGCAATGAAGTGATAGATGCAAAACAATACGTCCAGACTTTTCATATTAATAATAAGAAGAAGAAAGTCTGTAAGTGTCAACTCCATACAAAAAAAAAGAATCAAATTCCATAAGAGGGACAGTCATCTTCAATTCATCTCACGTACTTTTCTTTTGTCTCATTTAATAATGGCAGGACCTTCCCAAGTGGATCACATTCTGATTTCAATTATTTTGGCTATCGACACAATCTTGTGTCTTAATATTTACCCTTATATGGTTTGGATTTCTACTGCTTTCTTCAAAAATTATGAATATTTTTATTGTATCTCTGTAGTGCACAACAATCCATATTTTAAAATATCCGTCAGTCAATCATAATACAAACGATAGGTCAGGAAATGGTTTTCCTAATATTGTTTGACATCTATTAAATTGACATAAATCTCAATTTTTTAGTTTGTTTTCTTGTGAAATTGTAAAATTTCGTTTTCTGAAGAAAGAACATGCAGCACACAGCTTCACGCAAAAAGGATCCGTTTCCATTATTGTTAATTATCTGTGTTTGTAGTAATGATTTTTGTATTGTCACAAGGAGAAGTTATTGTTCAATAATGGTTCAGTCTGATTAAACACTTGTTATTTTTTTTCCTGTCTTATATGTATTTTCCATGTATTCTGTTATAAGACATCTTCTATCATATGTTACACATATGTTTCTTTTTATCTCAATTCTATCTACGACACATATTCTAAGAATCTTTTCGTCAATAAGTATTTTCCTTTCCTTCACTGTATATTTTTGTAACCTGTTGTTCACTTTGATTTATATGAAATTCCTTTCCTGTTATTCAATAGCGTATTCTCAATTGATTATCGAAGCTTTTATCATATATATATATATAGCCACTGCTCTTCTATGAAAGACTATAACTTGACATGGTAAAGAACTAAAAGACTAAGATTTATGTCAATATGATAAATGTCATACAACATCAAAGAAATAATTATTTGCCTTACAGTTTGCATTTAGATAGACTGACAAATTTTTGAATGTTGTATTCTACATACTATAAGAATTAAATAAAAATATTTATCACTTTTGAAGGAAACTGTAGCAACTCAAATCCTTTCATAATTTTTATTGAAATAGGAAAGAGCACCTTGAATATGCTTTCTCGTAATAAGAAAAGCTTTGAAAATCAATATACAAAACAATATCTCTAAAATTTAATCATTAAAAAAAGCAGAAACACAGATTTTCTTACATCAACTTTATTTTCTTTCTCTGAAAATAACAAAATTTCCTTTAGAATTTCAATAAAACTTACAGCTGAATTAAGATAAAGTAAAGAACGTGTAACAATAATAACAAATGAATGACGATGAAATCCAAACTTGTGAAATTGTTCAGAACTTAATCGTGATTGTATAATGCCCCAAATTTTATGTGGTACAATAAGCACAAAAAATGAAACTACTAAAGCAATAAGTAATTGTGCTACTTGTCGTCGATAACGTGTTACAATTGTATTGTCACGTAAGAGAGCTTCACGATTAAATAATATATAACAAATAGAATAATGCCAATAGCAAAGCATAATTAAAATGGTTAAATAAATAATCAATGTACATGGTATCAGATACCAAGTTGCCCATGATAAAGGAAACTGTGTAAAACCTACAAGCAATTTTTCAAAAAAAAACTGAAGCATATAAAAATAAAAATGAAACAAGAATTTTTATATTACATGCAACAATGAGTTCATCATAGGTTGCTTCCACTGTATAAGTATTTGTAAATGTAAAAAAAGGAATTGAAATTAGACAAGAAACAAGCCAAAAGAAGACAACTGTTGGTAATGTCCGAAATACAGTTAAATGAAGAGGATTTGTCTGTAAGATAATATTCTATTTAATTATATTATTTAAAAATCATTCACTTACTTTTAATGGTTGACAAATTGCAACATATCGTTCATAACTAATTGCCATAATTGTTAGAACAGAACATGTTGCTGTAACATTCTGAACAAATGGACTAAATCGACCTGAAAAGAAATATAATTTCTTTCTTTCTAAAAAGAACTATTCGTTTTATTTTTAAAGTTAACATACACATAAAATTGCCCAGACGATGTTTATCTTTTCCGTACAAATGTTGATAACCGTCAGCTGTGCAAAACAATAAAAGAAATAGATCGGCAACAGATAAATTTGTCAAAAGATGATTAGTTGCATTGCGCATATGTCGATACTTCATCACAATAACAATAACTAAAATATTGCCAATAACACCAACCAAAAGTATTATACTATAAAAAATACAAGCTGCTAGTTGTAAACCAGGAATCCATTCAATAGGCTCTGTTGATGCGTTACTATCATTGACAGTTGTCATATTGTCCATCAATATTTGATTATAATATGCTGTTAATAATAAATTTTGTGTATACGTTTCATCTAAAACAGTGGAATGAAGAGAAAAAGAAAGAGAAAGATTTTTTTTTTCTTGTCATTCAACAAGCAAAATAATAAAATCTGAATTTATCTATAATTATTGAAAAAAATTAGATTTACTAATAATAAACCTACATATATATTATGACTACTAATCAGTTATAGGATTTCCTTTTGATATACGTTAATTTACTTTTATCGTCGTTGGAATATTTAACAAAAGCTGAATGTATGTTATCATTTTCAATTAGATCGCGTGATTTTTCTCTATCTAATAACTCTGTCTATCTGATTTGCGTGTAATTAATTTTCTCTTGTTGTATACAGTGGTTTTGTTTTCATCAACAAAAGCACGCATCTCACTTGAAATCAAATCACATAAAAAAAAAGAAATCAAGACTTACAACAAGGGAAAAAGCATGAAGGACGGATAGATAATTATAAAAGCATCACATCATTCTTTAACCTCGATAGGCGTATAAAAATAACCGTAATAACTTTTGTTCCTTTCTTGATTGCATTTGACATAAATTAATCAGGCAACAGTTATTTAGAAAAATAAATTATTTGAATATGAAAACTTTTATTCTATTTGACACAAAACGTTTTGAAAGTTTGTCACTTTATTAACTATCATTCAGACAAGCTGTCACCCATTGCCGATTTCATATAACTCCAAGGACCTCAATCAATCCTGCATACATAAATTTTCTTTTCTTTTATTTTTATTTCCGTTGTTGTTTTTGTGTTGTCATTGATATAGCGGAAAAAATTATCTTTTTTTGATAGTTGATTTGCCATAAGTTTAGAAGTCGATAGAATACCTTTTTTAAAAAATTGGATAAAGTGAACAACAGAGAAAAATGTAAAAAGGACACTAAATGAAAAACAATAGAAGGCATGGTATTTTTCTCTCTGGAATAAGAGGTGACTCAAAAGTTGTAGTTACTGGCTATATATTGAATTGTTTTTGATGATCTTAAAATTAAAACATATACATCAATACATACTTGTTGTTGTTGTTGTTGTTATTTGATGACAAAAGATATGAATCTTTGGTTACATCGCTTATTAACTAGTTCGATCATCAAATGCAAATGAGATCAGATAAGCAGACAAATATTGTTAAAAACACCAACTATTAGAGAAAGAATAAGAAAATTACTTACAAATGTTAGTCATACAATTTATTTATGTCATCTATGATTGTTTGTGTGTGCGATGTGTGTTCTTATAAAAATGACAGTTTGGGATTTTATCTCACAAGAAATGTAAAATTAAGGAAAAGCTGATTTATTCTTCATTCAGAATAGAAGTCTAAAGCTTCTTTTGATGATCAAGTAAGCATAAGAAGTTCAGAAAAATGTTTCCATTATGTTTTATTATTGAATATATTTTTATTGGGAAGGATTATCTGAAAATCGTGACAGTTTCAATAGAAGAAAATGAAAAGAACTTTTCATTAGGAATGCAAGCTCTAACTTGCCAATGAAGAAGAGAAAGAGTCAATGCATTTTATTCAGCGTCGAATACATCCTTTCAAATATTGAATTCATGTTTCTCTCTGAAGTTCTTGATTATTATGCCTGAAAGAATGCTCATGACCTTTTCGAACAAGAAAATGTTAGAGTAAATTTTCTCAAAGCTAAGAAATTCATAAACAAAAGATCTCAAAAAATTGTCAAGAAATTACATTGATTTTCTTGTCTATCAATCCTTTCTTTTTGCTAAGGTAATAGTTTTCTTCGGTTAATCGTTACGTAAATGAATTAGAACAACGCAGAGATAAATAACGGATGACCCACAAAAGAATGAGGGTTTCCGTATATTCTTAATATCTACTCTAGTTTTCATTTTTTCTGACTGAATTTTTTTTCAAAAAAAAAACGGTTAAATTCTTTATAAAAACATATTCAAATGAATGTGGCAGGGATAAAAGTAAAAGAGTTCAGTCCAGATACATGAACACTAGAGCAAATACCGAAAAACTACAGAAGCCCTCATTTTTTTTGTGGGCTACTTGTTAGTATAGACTAATGAAGAATTTGTTCCTCTTCAATTGTGGGACCTTCGTGTGGAGTCTGTCAATAAATTTCGTTTCTTGTTAGATATTGAAATGGACTGTTTTCTACAGTTACACTATCTTAGTTTCGTCTACATCAAATATAGAAGTGATGTAGTTTGATTAGAAAAAAGAGATGAACTGATCTGATCTAATTACTGCTCTACATACAATATAGTTGAGCGCAAGAAAAAGAAATTTACAATAACAACTTATTTTATATTTTTCGAATTATGCTTTTAATATGTTTTTCTAGCATACTTATTTCGATTAAAATAATACTTACTGACATACAGTGGCGGCCAAAATTATTCATACAGCTGAAGAAAATTTTGAAAGCGTTATATCTCCGCAAGGGTTAAGTTTTTTGAGCTGCGGTTTCCGTCAGAATGTAGAGTACTATGTATAGTATACTTGTAAAAAGTTTCAGCTTGATCTGCCATCAAATGTTTGTTTTAGATAAAAAAGAAGAAAAATCATGTGTTTCAGTTTCGCTCAAAATTATTCATACAGTTCCTATAAATTAAATATGAAAATATGAAAGTGGTGATTTTTTATTTCATCTGCTTGATCTCTGTGGCAGCTGAAAACGATTTATCCTACGAAGTAATACGTGTTTTGCGGTTAAAAAACTATTTCTAGTCCTAAAAATAGCGATATTGAGAAATTTTGACTCATTAAAATCGTCATATTTGCATGTATCATTGTATGAACAGTATGAATAATTTTGAGCGAAACTGAAACACATGATTTTCCTTCTTTGTTATCTAAAACAGACATTTGACGGCGGATCAAGCTAAAACTTTTTATAAGTATACTATACATAGTACTCTACATTCTGACGGGAACCGCAGCTCAAAAAGCTTAACCCTTGCGGAGATATAGCGCTTTCAAAATTTTCTTCAGCTGTATGAATAATTTTGGCCGCCGCTGTAAATCAATAAAGGTTTTTTTGATAGCAATGATGCATACTAATAAGTTCTACTCAATGATCTATAACAAAAAGAATCTACATGAGCGACAAGCCAAGAGAACGATACACAATTAGAGATACTAGGTTAAATGTTGAACTTGAAATTTCTGATAATGGTCAATTCAAGTCAATTTTAAATCGATGAAATGAGCGTCATTAAATTGTAATTGTTTAACCCTAGAAGCCCCAAATGGGTCATTTTTGACCCACAAAAAAACCTGAAAATGCAACGGAGATATTTTATCGTTTTTTTTAATTTTTGAAAACGTTTAGGATTTTCACAATTTATATGATAATGTCGAGTATAAAAAGGCACTAACTGCTCTTCTTTTTGTTCATTACAGACCATTGATATAAGCATATATCTTTGACATGTAGCAAATTAATGCTGTAAATGTTCAGAGTTTGTTTGTAACGAGCATTCTGTAAAACGTATCTTTTGCATTACTTGTTGGAAATAAAAAGAAATAGTCGTTCTGATAGTTTTTTTTATTCAAACTGCGTATGCCAATATCATATTTACATCAAAACACTGATGCAACAAGAAAACAATCACGATAGAAAACTATATACTACTAGTAAATCGCGGGAAAAGGCTTGGGATTCCTAGGGTTAAAAATATTTATTATAGGCTTCAGAGTACGACTCTAGGAAAATTAGTACTTTTTACTGGGCTTGTTATGCTCTCTCAACTGATGTATTGTTTATTAAATTGAGGAAAAAATCGAAGATTTCAAAACAGTTGATATGATTATTCGAAATTGAATATATTATTTAAAAAAAAATATGCTACGACTTTGCCATTCCATGTTCCAACTTTTATGTGGGATCAATCTTCAGATCGCTATTTTATTATTGATTCTATTCTGCTTAACTATTTAGTATTGTTTGCAAAACAAATTACAGCCTTGAGTAGGACAAAGAAAGCTATGCATTTTGATGAAGAAGACTAATTTCAAATGAGGTTCTTTGTGTTGAGAAGTTTCGAATATTGAATATGCACAAAAAATAGACTTGATTGCATTCACAATAATTCGAGATATCTTACTTATAGAAATTCGATTTTTTGAATTTCATCTTACTACAAACGTTGAATAGTAGTGCTGCATATATTATCACTTAATATATTTATCTGTTAGATTCTTCACAAATATACGAGTCTGCTTGTGGTGGTAGATGTAAAATAGATGACCTCGGTTATGTGTGAAAATGTCGTTTGGGATCGAATTTGATCAAGATTATGTGTTTGAGCGAGAAACTAAGCTCTACAAACAATAATACTTTGTTTGTTTTGTGCAAGATATGTGAAAATATAGTGACTGCGTAATATAGGTCACATTCTTGCGAATATTCAACTGACTCTTCGTCACTATTCATTAATCTGTGTGAACGACAAGAGACAGAGCAAGCAAAACAATGGTAATATTTGTATGAAATAAATGCAGTATAGGATTCATAAATATCATGCGTCATTCAATGTGAGCGTCATAGCACGTAATAATAAATACAGCATACTCTATTAAAAAAAAACATTCGTCATCGATTCGTACGTCAGTGTTTACGTGCGTAGGCCAAACTTATTTCTTGATCTATATATAAGCAAAATATTGCTTTACTCTGACTCATACAACAACGTCGATAGATTATACTATTAATCTGGTATTTGATACGCTAAATTTGGTCGACTTCAGCGAGTTAAGGTATTCAGTTTTTTATTCTTGTTTCATTGAAAAAGATTTAATGTGCCTGAAGATAAAATATGATAATATTGAAAGGAAGGGCTTCAGGATATTTTCGTAGAAGGCATTCTCTTTAAGTAGATATCTTGCGAAGAATATGCTTACGATAATGCATGCAGAGCCGATAGTTCTGACAGCACAGTATCCAGTTTTTGCACTGATATTTTGTGTTGGAATCATGCTTGAAAGTATTGAGGGATGATATTCGAAAAAAAACAAAAGTTCTAATATCATCCTTTGATAATGCCAATCATGAATCGTCAAAAGCATTATAATCGATAGTAACCTACAGGTGAAATCTTTGGAGGAGTCGGTTTGCTTCGAGAAACTACTAAATAATATGAGCGTGCCTGTATATATGAAACCCTTGATTGAAACGGTTATCACCTAACATTTTTCCGCTGATTTCGTCTAGCACAGATTTATCATTCACTTGCTTTGTGCTCAGAAAAATATGCTGCTCTTACTGATTCATATCTATTAAGGATAGTGCTCTCGATAGATGTCTACTTCTACGATCCATGAAATTTTTGTTATATATTCTTATTAACTGAACTTTGTTAATGCAAATTGCCAACAGTTATTGAAAACTGTTGCAATTGCTAAATTCACAGTGCTGAATTAAAGTAAGACACCGAAATTGCAAAATTAAAGCAGTTTTTTTTTCTTTTTTTTTTGATGCATCATTCGATAACGTGTAACAAGCTGACCAACAATATAGATGTTTCCATTTACTTCGAATGAGTTTTTATGAGAAAATTTCAGCTTTTTCCGATCCCCTGATTTTCATCAAAAAAAAGTCAAGTATCGAAAAATAATACATTGTCAAAGTTGTTTTCTTCGAATTTCAAAGGTGTTTGATTACGAATTCAATGTGAAAACTTAGTCTACCAAGGCCATTTATAAATTAGTTTTCTGTATTCAACTTTTCACCCTGAGTCTGGAATCAGACACTTTTGAAATTTGAAGGAAGACAAAAAATTGCCCTTTTTTTTTCATAAAAAGTGGGTCATCCGAGAAAACTGAAGTTTTTCTCCTAAGAACTCATTCCAGAAGAAAAGAAACATCTACAGCATTAAAAATAAATATTCGAGCGTCCTGTAACACTTGTCTTGTGAAGTAAATTTCGCAACTGAGAAAAAAATATTTTCACGACCCTAATTATACCATTGGATACATTGAAGTTTCTGCTTGATTGTAAAAGAAAAAATTTTCTTCCGAAAAGGCTTTTTATAAGCTGCTGGATTTCCTATACAATAACTATTATTTGAACATCTGTAATTTTCTTTTTATGGCAGCTTTATACTACATCAAAATATTTAAGTTTAATATCATTCGATAGAAAATCTTCAGAATTGAATTGTGAAAAGAAGGATGTGCTAAAATGAACGATATCATTATTTCTGAATATGATAAAAACCTATCTGTTTCAGTGGTTTACATTGAAGTAAGAAGAAAAACAAATTTTTTCGTTTTGTCAGTCAGTTTATTTACACTAAGCCATCGAAATAACAAAAGAAAGATAAATATATCTATACGCCATGCACATCAAGCGACAGAACGAAAAAACCCTGTTTTTCTTCTTTGTCCAATATAAATTATAATCTCAACATTCTCTATCGAATGATATTGAAATCAAAATATTTTGATGCACTAGAAAGGTCTCATAAAAAGAAAATTACAGGTATCCAAACAATTATTGTCGTATATGGAATCAAACAGTTTATAGAAAACCTTTTTGAAAGAAAATTTTTTATTAACAGAAAGCAGAAATTTCAATAAGACAAATGATATAATCAGAGTCGAGAAAATTTTTTTTCTTTATCATGCAATTTGATTCACAAGACAAGTGTTAGAGCATGTGCAAATAATTATTTTACATACTGTATATTGTATATCAACTCATCACGCTCTATCAAATCAAATATCAACAAATAAAAAGTCTACTTTAATTTTGCGTTTCCGGTATCTTAACAAAATCCTCAAAAACATATAATGAAGAATCGAATTTTAGGCGTTTGAACCGTTTTTCATATGTTCCTCATCTTTTGTGTTTTTCTCATACCATGTGTCGATCAATTGGAAAATAATACATGTCTAACCAACTTTTTTGTGCTGTATCAAATGACATATAAAGGAGCTAGAAAAACATTATTCGACGTTTCTATTAAGTAGCGGTATGATTTTTGTCTTCGTTTAAATATTTTATTTCAGTCAAATAAGGAAAAAACTCCTAAAAGCGTATTAAAATTATAACAAAATTAAAATCGTAAAAAGTGTAAATTTTTACGTTTTCATAACCCGTTAAAATTTTCGGATAGATATAGATCCGGCCAAAACTCTAAGGTGCTGTGTGTATGTTTTCATACGTGCCTTTTACAATATTGTTCGAGATAAAGCTTCGACACAGTTGTACACTTGTTTTTCCATCATTCGTCTGACCTGGATGAAATATCAAAAAGAAATAGAATACTTTAATTTACTTTATAATTTATTAAACTATGAATAAAGTGCAAATATTTTAAATTTCGAAAATTCAATTTTGCATAATTTACATTTAAAAAAAATTACATTACCTGCAATATAAATTTATTTTGAAATTTAAATTGCAAAAAAAAGAAATAAATTTATATTAAATCAGCAGGAAAACGAACCTTTTAACCTGGAAAGGATTCGTATCTTTTAAATTATAAATATAGTCACGTGTTTACTACGTATATTATTACATGGAATATGTTCTTACATCGCCATCTGGTCACCAGATTGATACAGTATAGTAAGAGATATAGGATGATATAGAATTACGCTATGTATAGTATATCTTATAATAGAAAGATCTCTAAGTCAAATATTTCTAAATTGAAATTTTTGTTTAGTCGCCAAAATAGATTAAGCATTTACTTATCCACAAACGTGGATTCACTTAATTATTGTCTCTGAGAGCCAGAATTTGTAGCAAATGGTAGACATTCTTTTCATGGGAATCATTCTCCTTAAAGAAAGGTTTGGCAAAGAATGTGCTTAGAATAATGCATTCGGAGCGAGGAAGAAACAGTGGTGTTCAAGACGTCAAGACTTTCAAAGACTTCAACAGACTTCAGGAGACTACAAGACTCTAGTTTCTTTTGTTTATCTCTCGGGAATGGCATGTATCCAGTTATTCAATAGTACTATGAGTGACATCAGTAGAAGAATTTTAGAAATCGAAAAACATTTGTCATCTGTGCTTATATCGATCAAAGTCTTAGAGGATATCGGCAAATTGTGAATTAGCTACATGTACTGTAATAGAAATAAAAATAGCGATGCGATAGAAGTGCTAGGACCTCAAAGACAATATTAGATGTAGTACTTGCAGAATTTGTGTAGAATTGCTTCGAGTAAGAATATTATAGTAGGATGATAGGTTGCCGTTGCGTTTCATATTTGGATATTGCTTCCATCTATATACAGCATAATATACTAGTCTTGTGAGAGTAGCGCTCGAATCCTTCCTCGACGTGTAATACTGCGCGGTTGGATTGAGAAATTTCTAACAAAAAAGAGAAAATCAAATAATAATTTGATTAAATTGTTTGATGAGTAAGCTACCTATCATAATGTCTCTAATATCTTTTGATAATACTGACTGTGAATCGTCCATAGCAGTATAATCGATGGTAGCCATTAAGTAGAATCTTTGGATGAGTCATGTTTCTTCAAGAAACTACCGAACAATATCAACATTGTTATATAGTGAAAACTGGACAACTCTTCTGCAAATCTATTTTGAATTTTTATTTCATGCATTGCTCTGTCGTATTTTTCGTAACCATGTAAAACAAGGAAGAATCGTTTGGATGAAGAAAATAAATAAATTTATTTTCATAACATTAAAAAATTATGATTTATTTTACCACAGGATCTTCAAAGCGCACAACAGGAAGTATCGTCTTTTGTGGGAAACATGAGTGCAAAAGAACAGATATAGAATTCTCAATTCTTTTGAGAAAAGCTTGCAATTTTTAAGGAGAGTAATATTACATCTTATTTTTGTGTCATATGGCAATACAATCATAGAAGACGACTAGCTCACCAAACATCCATACTTTTTGCATATAATTTTTTGTTCTCCTATGATAACATTTTGCCAACCAAATGTAAAACTGGAATCAAAGTTTCAAAATATCATCATAATTAATTACCACTTTAAAAAGAAGTAAAAGCGCATTGGCAATAGAAAATTTTAGGTTGTTTTGAAAATAGTGGAGTATGTTGTTAGTTATAAGTTTGTTTTCTAACGCAGAACAATAACAGCAATCGTTTTATCTAAAACGTTGACGAATCGCTTTCTTATTAGCCAATTGATACTATGAATTTCAAAGACGACATGTTTTACTTGGCATTTACCATCATCCTGCTTGGTCAATTTCTACCAGAAGTAGTTGTCGCCAATAGTCTTTTGGAAGCAACTGCATCCGAAATTCTTCCACAATTAAAATCAAACGACATAAGACCTAGAGAATATGTCCAGCATCTCATTCATCACATCAAAGCTAATGAAAAACGTATTAATGCTCTAATATCGTTTTATCCTGGCCGAGTTCTTTCCTCAATCAAGACAACAACAGAATATCAGAAGGAACGACAGTGTTTAAATGGTCTTCCAATTATAGTTAAAGACAATATTGATGTACTTGGTTATCCCACAACGGGTGGTACACCGTCTCTCCGCAACTCTTATCCAAAACGCAATGCACCTGTCATTAGTCGCTTACTCTCAGCCGGCGGTGTCATTCTTGGAAAAGCTAACATGCATGAATTAGCATGGAGTATTACAAGTAATAACGCATATTTTGGTCCTGTTCATAATCCATGGAATCTAAACTTAATCCCAGGTGGAAGTAGCGGTGGATCAGCAGCTTCTGTCGCTGCTCGATTCGCCCCAATTGCGTTATGCACGGATACAGGGGGGTCTTGTCGAATTCCTGCAGCACTTACGGGTGTGGTCGGATTTAGACCTTCTATTGGTCGATACTCGCAGGAGGGAGTCATACCATTGGCGTCAAGCAAGGATACGATTGGTATCAATGCAAGAAGCATTGAGGATGTTGTACTAATCGACGGTGTTCTAACCCAGAATTCATGTGAGAGAAAACCACAGCGCATTTCACTAAGAGAAATTCGATTGGGACTTGACAGAAGTACTTTCCTTAACGATGTCGATGGAGATCTTTACGATGTGTTTATCAAATCGGTTCAAGCATTGACAAATGCAGGAGTACAAATCATCAACATTGATCTATCGGAACTTCTCGCCTTAGATCTAGCAAATAGTTATTTAATCTACTATTACGAATGGTTTCGTGATCTAGACCGGTACCTTCAAGCAAGCCCAAAGTATCCGATCCCGTTATCTCGTGTCCTGAGCAACGTGGCGAGCCCTGATGTAAAGGATGCAATCAACGGTATCCAAAACGGCACTTTGCGGGTCACGGATGAGAAATATAATTCTATCATGAACATAGTTCGACCAGAACTTCAACGTCAGCTACGAGCAGTCTTTCAGCAATTCGCATTAGATGGCATTATTTTTCCGACAACGCGTCTCACTGCTCGTTTGATTGGACAAGATCCTGTCACCCTTAACAATCATACACTTCCTACATTAGACGCATATGTAACTTTTGAAGATTTTGGAAGCACTGCAGGTGTTCCCGGGATCAGTATTCCGATTGGATTGACTAAAGATTCAAAATTGCCAGTTGGTATGGAGATCGAAGGAGAGTATGGGAAAGATGAAAAATTACTGAATGTTGCGGCAGCAGTGAAGAGGGTGTTTGATCCATTGCCACAGCCGACAGATGTAGTTTTCAAGAAGCATTAATATTTTAAGATTGGATGTTTCAACAAAATACATCTTGACTTTTCTTTTCTTGACAAGTAAAAATCTTATTTTTCCTTTCAGTGGATGTTCTATTTCATTTTAAAACATAATAAAGTCGAGACACTTTTCGGACAGTTTTTTGAGAGAAAATGCCATAGCTTATTGATTTTAAACAAGCCTAAAGGGATGAGCAAGAGAGATCACAACGTTTCAACTGGTGCCCAGTCAGTATCATCAGGTAACATGGTCTTGATATCGATTCTATAAATATGATTAAAGAATTTGATCGTAACGAAACTATTGCTGTAGTAGCAATATCAATAACGAGGGAGATTATGCTGACAAAATTCGAATGTTAGATTAACAAGTTGTTATTGGGTTCGAGTGAGAAGCAAGTTGGCACTTTCCACTACTGTATTTCATAGAAAAATTGGAGCAGTAGCAGTAGTAAATGAGCGTCCAATGCTCACAGTGATATTGATCTGATTGTAGTTAATTCGAAGAGTTGAATTGAAAATCGATAGCAGTTCACGAGTGAATTCAGACATTGTATGAGTCAAATCAATCAATAGAGGATCCAAACAGAAATTGATGCAGTAATTTGGTACTGCGGATGGTACGGTTGTATAATCAACGTTTGTTAGTGTAGTTGTGGTGTCAGAAGACTTAGTCGATAATGCTGAAACTCTTGAAGATAAAATAGTCGTTTCCACCAATTGAAAAGTTGCAGGTGATGTTATGGCAAATGTGAATAATATTGTACTTGCTGAATTGGTCGTTGTTTCAATTTGTTATGACAACTTTGTAATGAGAATTTAGTGGTTTGATTTTCATGGATCGTTGCGATTACGGTGCAACTAAGTACTACATTAGATGTAGCACTAGTTTTGGACATAGTACTATCTCTAAGAAGGATAAGGCAACGTTTGTGTTGATTGTATTGTTTGATGTATTGAACTACCTTCAGATGAATTCAAAGTAACATAGTTAGAGTTCGTCGCAGAACTGGGTGCATTACTATTGATTGCAGTTGATAATTGTTGAGAAACGAAAGCCAGTGTGAGCATTGGCTTCACTGTTGATGGAAGATTCTGTCTCAACAGTGGCCATATCACTTGCACATAAAATGATCTTAAATGACTGTGTTGATGATGAAAACGAACATATACCACATATATGCAATAGATTTTCTACATGATCTCTTTATTGTAAATGATGAGTATAACGTGAGAGTCAAGTCTTTACTGTGATATTGAAATTGTCAGTGATTAGTTTCGATCAGACAATCAAGTGATATGACTGAAAGAGGAGTTCAGTGTTGTCACTGCAAATATTAAGCGTTGAATAAAAGGATCAATCGAGAAGAATTGAACAGAGCCTTGCATAAGAATGAAGCGAAAGGAAAGACCACCATTGGACTTGCTATACACAGCTTCAATTTCATCGAGCATGTAAACAAGATAATCAGTTTTATTGTTATTGAAATGTTTGACTAGTATATCGAAGAATACAATATATTGTATCGGTGTCTAGCAATGGAATATATTAGAGATAATTTCGTATAATCTTTGGTATGCGTTTCTGAATAAAATGTATTGAATGTTCGAAACTGATTCATTATGAATGCAAGGATTATTCCTGTTAGAGTTGTACCAGAGAATGACGATACATTGCCAAGGTAACTGCGAGTTGTATTCTGGCTTCTTTTTCTGTTGACTCTCATTTCTTTGATTCGAAAGTTTACTGTTAACTGCTTTTCATTTTCAACAATACTTAGTTGTCCACTCATGATTAGGGGATTCGTCATTGCTTCATACCCTTTATCTGCCATGAGAAAAGCTAAAATAAATGGTTGCGAAGTAGTAGTTTCATTGGAAAGAGAATCAGTTTCAATGACACGTTGTTCGATAGAATAATCAATATCCAATTGAGCTTCAGGTTCGACGAGTATTGAATCAGGTTGAAGAGTGGTGTTCACACATTGAATATCAATCATATATGAAAATAGACTTCTGGCACGATATCAGGTAGCAATCGTGGGCGCAGTTGATCGATAGAGAATGAGCAGCTTATTTATTTGGCCAAAACGATCAGCTTGTACCAGAGTTAATCAAGGAATCAGCAGGATTGAGACTAGAGTTGGTTTTTATCCATATAACAGACCAAAATTGCACTGTTATTGCGAACTATTCAACGCAAAAATTTGTTGTTCTCTTTTAGGATCAGAAGCACAGAGAAGTATAAAAAAGTACGAAGAAGTCCGAAAAAGTACAGAAAAATAAAAACAAGTACGAAGAAAACAGAAGTATGCTTTTTCTTCTTCAGCCAAGCACTATTTCCATAGGCAAGAACAACAATATCTGAAAGATTAAACGCATCTTTTATGACAAATGAGAGTTAACCTAGGTCAGAGCCGACTCTAACAGTGTTCCTAATACTTCGTTGACATTTGTCCGATTGCTAAATATCGCCCACCCACAAAATAGTCGGATGTGATGTCTGAGAAGCAAGCAATTGTCTCAATATATTTCATGCCGTTTGAGTCGAAACTTAGAATTTTCACGAACAGAAATAAGAAGTCTTTGTGAATAGTGAGGTTATTTTCGTTGAATTATCGATTGTCGATTGCAAGAGTTTCCATAAACTTTGAACTATTTTGCTAGAATCTCTCGTCATGAAAAATTGTAATATGATTTTACCGATAATTGTGATTAAAAATGTCTGCGAAGTTTTCATAAGAGAAAACATATCTGCTGCATGGATGGAATTTGTATGATATTTCGATTTTGTTGTTGATTTTTCTAAAAGGTTTCTAACAACTCTATGAAATTCCTATGAAACATCTAATCAACTAAATCAAAATTTCTCAATAGAAGATCTGTCTCAATCTTCAAAAAAGACAAGACATTAAGTATTTTTTACAACCTCATTGTGAAAAATATGCAGAACATACCGTGAACTGTAAAAACAAAATATGTTAAATTTCGAACTTTCTCAAATGTTTTCAGGCGTTTTAGAATGATAAATTGCATGGATAATAAATACACAAGTTTGACGCAAATATCACGCTATGAAAGATACCCAAACAATGAGTGAAGCTCTCTCAATTTAGTCATCATGGGAGAAATAAGAACAATAGGCAGTGATATATGTATCTAATGATTAAAGACAAATTGAAATCAGAGTCACGATTTCAAAATGTTTTTCAAGAACAGAAAATACTTTCTTAAATTAGAGTTTAGATGTGAAATCCTCTCATTGACACCACCAAGTAGAGTAAGCATTAGAAGCCCTCTCAATATGCACCCAATGATGTTACTCACACACTTGTCACACATTAGTTCTGTCAAAGTAAAATGTTCCAAAATAGCTTCAGCTCCTGTAGCAGCGTATTGGAAAGGTTTGGGTGTGGGTGTTAGTGTCGAGTGTGCGACTATGATTGTGGATGGGGTGGGGTTGTCGAAGGGTAGAATAAAGGCATACATGCCTATATTCACTTTTTCTCATGCTAAAAAAGTAACTTTTCGTGTTTAGTAGCTTATGCTTCATCCAATGATGTAAAAAAAATGAAAAAAGCTTTTCACTTGAAATTTACATTGCCGGCATCTTAGCAACACATTGAATGAAGAAAAAAGCGAGAATAAAAAGAGCTCGTTCATTGCTCATACGTGCACGAAGCTGCTTTTATCGTTCTCGGCCTCAATAAAAATAGCGCAAAATCACATGCAATTTTTTTTCTCTTCGAACACTTTAGAACTTTTACATTGTATAAATGATTGTCAGACGTGCGTATCGACGGAGAACCAATGTAAACATTCAGTTGACGAGTTTGCGCCAGAGACGAGAGAAAGAAAAAAAAGATTGTTTTTATACTGTTTATTTCTTTTCTTGTTTGCCAAAGTTCGTTAAAGTTTTCAAATCATTACATATTGCTTTGATCTTGGCAACATTTCTTCTCATTGAGACCAATTCAGTGAGTTAATTTTTTTTGCTGATTTTCTTTCAAATATATTCCACTGGCTTTTTCGTTTTCTCTTCTTTTGCGATAGTAAACAGCAAAAGTAACTGGTTATGATCGATCGATGAAGATAATTTTCTTACAATCAAGATTGCTAGATTTAAATATCGATCATTGAATTAGTTTTGTTTTTAGAGAAAGATACAGTGTCTTCTCATACTGCTTTCAATACTAAAACAAAAGTCTATCAGAAATTGTCTTACTGAAATACACTGTAGCGTTGTACGGATCGTATACATGCAAATTTGGATCACATTTTTAAAAAATTTATTTCAAGAGCTTTATGCGAATGTTATAGAATCCTATTCACTTCAAAAGAATTTTTCCAGGATCGGTTCATCATAAAAGTGTCTTTAAAAGTTAAGAAAATGCATTTGAACAATGATTGACCTTCAATATTCGTATTTGAATTTTTTTGTTTCTAGATTTTTGTATAACAGTTAATTGAGAAGCAGTAACAAAAAATGACCAACTCTGATGGTGAAATGGTGATGATGCTAAAAACAGAGGACGATAGAGGCATCCATGGTTCAACAATTACTTTTAATTCAATCAATTATACAGTACCTACTCAAGGATGCATACGTTATTTGAAGAAGGACAAGAAACAGATTCTTCATAATCTCACCGGAATCTTCAAACCTGGTATGAACGCGATTCTTGGACCGACTGGTAGTGGGAAATCATCCCTATTAGATATATTAGCTGGTCGAAAAGATCATCAAGGTTTAATAGGACAAGTACTCATAGACGGACAACCACAAATGCAAGATTTCAAATATCGAGTCGGTTATGTTGTTCAAGATGATATGGTCAGCGGCACATTGACTGTTCGGGAAAATTTAGCTTTTTCAGCTAATGTTCGTTTACCACGGAATGTCTCTTCGGAAGATAAAATTGCTATTGTCGATCGAGTCATAGTACAATTAGGATTAGAAAAGTGTGCTGATTCGAGGGTAGGTACTGAAACTAGTCGTGGAGTATCGGGTGGTGAACGAAAACGAACCAATATCGGCATGGAGTTAGTTCTGTCGCCTACTATACTTTTCTTGGACGAACCAACAACCGGTAAAATAATGTTTTATTTTCGTTTAAGATCTATAAACCCAATACTGATTTATTTTTACTATCGTGTTTGAAAATTGATTTTTCGATTTTCGACGAAGTGTAATTTTTAACTTAAGTTTATTTGTTTTCTTGTAAAATGATGAAAACCATGAATGTTGATTTCATATGGTAGAACATTGTATGGGTTTTCAAAAGAAAAATAACATTTCTTTTTCCTTAACCAAATAGAACATTTTCAGTAGGATAGAAGACATATGCATCAATAGGTTTTCCTAGAGAATTTTTGTTCAACATGAATCTGAAACTAAAGACTTTGCTCTTACATTTCGTATTCAAATTACAAAAGAATTTGATGGCTTTAAGTTTGAGAGTTTGTCTCGTCAATTAATTGCCTGGAAAAACTTATCCGACTCAAGTTTTTAGTGTTTCGAACAAATACATATCCAACATAATGAAAAAACACAGCGCCAGAATTTAGTGTTACTAGAGCTTGTGAGTGGGACTAGATCATTTTAATCCATTCGTATCCTCAACCACATCCTTTATCTTTAAGAGAATTAGCATAACTAAGATCTGTAACGAGATTATATTGCTTGATATAGGTCTCGATTCATCAACAGCCAATAGTGTAATCGAATGTCTTGATCAACTTTCAAAAAAAGGACGTAGGTTATTTGTGACTATGTTTCATTTCAAACTTTATTCTTATTTGAAGATACAATCATCTTTTCGATTCATCAACCTCGTTATTCTATATTCAAGCAATTCTCCAATCTTTTTCTAATTGCTGCTGGCTATTGTGTCTATCATGGGCCGGCTAGTGATGCTCTTTCATTCTTCACTTCGGCCGGTTTCGCTTGTGAAGAACATGACAATCCGGCTGACTTTATTCTAGACATATGTCAGGGTATACGATGGACATCGTATGCAATAATTGGAAACGAAAACGAGGGTGAGGGTCAAAAAAAAGATAAAGTTGCTCAATATCTACATGATGTCTACGTTCAGTCGGCAAGCTTTACTTCTATTAATCAACAAATAGTGGATGCAAGTATTACATCGAACGACATAAGGGATATACAGACAAGATTAGCATCACGGTCGGCTCTCATCAAAATGCTACACGTATCTAAACGTACTCTACGCAAATCATTTCGAAATCCGACTTTGATGGTAATGCAAACAATAGTTCCAGTATGTCTGGCAATATTTATCGGTTTTCTCTATATTAATACGAACCGTACATTAGAAAATGGAATAAAAAATCGCTTCGGTGCTATTTTTTTTATTGTTTCGAATCAGGTCTTCTTGAATTTATCTGCACTTGAATTATTTATCAAAGATCGTACACTTTTCATACATGAAAATGCAAGTGGTTACTATAGTACATTGATATATTTTGTTTCAAAATTACTATGTGATATTCTTCCATTACGATCTATTCCATCTGTTCTTTTCTCACTTATTGCTTATTTCATGATTCAGTTTCAACGAACTGTTACCAAGTTTTTTATTTTTCTATTAACCATATTCATGACAGCTATTTGTTCAGCTTCGATATGTTTTTTCATTTCGGCTAGTGTAGAATCATTTGGTAAAGTATCCACTATGATCATTTTTCTTTGATCATCAATAGTCCTACAATTTTAGGTCTGGCAAATTTGGTTACAGCAGCATATTGCGTTGCAATGCTCGTTTTTACTGGCTATCTTCTTGACGTTACTACTACTATCAAATTTCTTGCATGGATAAAATGGGTGAGTATCTTTCGATATGCATCGAATGCAATTACTATCAACGAATTTACTAATTTGAAACTTTGTCAAACGAATGACACTAGTATTTGCTTGATTAATGGTGAAGATATTCTCAAAGATCAAAAAATCGATTATTTAACAAAATGGGATTTATGGGCAAACTTTGTAGCATTAGGCGTTATGACATTGATCTATTTTGCTTTGACCTATGTTCAATTACTACGTATGCGAAAGACGAAATAATCGATGGATATCAATTATAAAACCCTCTACATTCAATTCTCTTGACAATTAGAATAAATTCGAGACATAATTGGGGCTAATTCTACGAAAAGTTTACCACAAAAACATCAAGTTTTAAAAAAAATTTTCTTTTCTATCAGTATTTGTAGAGTTTTTTGCGCTGCGCATTTTTGTAAAAACAAGTCTTTGAACTTCCGTTAGAAATGGCGGTATTATGGGCTAAATGCTGACAAGAATTAAATAGTTTAATCATTTTTTGTATTTCTATCGAGAGAAGTATCTTATTCTATATGTCGTTTTACTGTGTTATTTCTATGCACATACACTGTAGTCATATATTCTGATAGCCCAACTCACCAACAATAAAAGACGATGACTTACGAAATATTTTTCTCACTGAATCGCACAATAATTTGATGATGACCTACTGATCACAGCCAAAGAAACATATTGAAAAAATCGGCTGACATTAATTAAACAAGATGGGCGGGTGAGGAAGATGAAAGTGTGGATGCGAGTATCAGCCTCAATCTAAGAGAATACTCACATCCACACCCAAATCGAATAATTTAACGATTCGAAGTAATTAAGAAAGGAAATGCAGCATCATGTTTTTCGAAAAGAAGAAAACAGGTTAAATTTTTGCATTTCGGTTAAAGCTCTTAGCTTTTAGTTAGGTGTTTGAAGTTTGTTGCTGTAAATTAAAACTCTGTATATTTATTTGTTATTCAAAAGAAAATTATTCGATGAAACCCAGTTAATAGTGAAATGAAACCAAAATACTTTTAGCAAGGGACTTTTGGAACAACTTGCGTTTTTCCTGATCAATTGATGTCAACAAAAATATTTCTAGCAAGCAATATTTATTTGAGGATTTTCAGAAAATATTCGCAAATTATAAAACAAATGACTTAAGTTTCGTTCGTCATATTTGTTCTATAAATTTTCACAATCTTTTGAAAAGCTTAGAAATTGTTTTTAATATTTACTTCCAAAATTCCCTGTAACTTGTTGAACGTATTAGGGAATTTTGACTGACTTGCATGAAAAATTTGAGTCCGTTTTTATTTAGATAATCGTAATGCATAAATGACATGTAATCCCATACTCTATAGAAGAAAGGTGGCTTAAGAAACCATTGAGGATTCTAGAGAAAATCTTGAACTTTTAAGAGTTCCAAATTTAGGTATCATTTTCAGCATCTTTTTTCTAAGTTCCAGCCAAATAGTCCAGAATTTAAAAAGGTTTAGCCATAAAGTGTGAAACTTTAAACATTTCAGACTCTTTGACCAGCACAAAAAATGGTTCTGAAAATGGTATCGAAAAAAAGGCGCAGTCTGACAGCTATTTTTTTTTTTACAGAGTACTGATTACTCATTGAGCTGCTGATAACTGTTATTCATTTAAAATATATTTATCAGCTATCTGCTTATATGAATATTTCATATACTTATTGCATACTTGATCGATATTAATGTTGTATATGCAATTGAGTAACTACTGATGTACCGTTCGTTTCACTTTTTCGTTCTATTGCATTCAATTTTCCTAAGACGAAAGAGATAGGATGTTGTGTGAATGAGAGCGAGTAGATATATATGTTTTTTAATATTCAAAACTGATGTATTCATACAAGTCAATTTCATGGTATTAATAATAATGTTCAACAATATCTGTATATATATATATTTATGGCCAAAATGATTCATGTCCACGGTACTACCTGCTGTAAAGTAATCGTTTTCTTGGATTCATCATGCATTTCATGTATCAGGATGTGTGTGGGAGAGTAGTTCATAACTTCATTTATAGCCACTTACCCATATCCAGACCTTCAAGTAGGACTCTAATCTTTAGTTGTCATTGGCACAACCTGTATCAAAATTCATTTTTTTGGAAATTTTTCTTATCTTTTATTGATTATTATAATGAACTCTAAAAGCGATGGAATGAATTGCAACTAATGCAAGCAAAGATAGTTTTGCGATTACATTTTTGTAATATCGAGCGAAGATAATTGAGAATCCTGTGTACATTTAGGCAAAGTTTCCATTGAGTATTTTGTTTCATGGACCTGCCGTTGAATTAAAGACTTCTTTCGACGTACTGATCTGGACAGATAATCTTTTATAAAAAAATATTTTTTCCACATAAATAACACTAACGATAGAATACTGATAATGCCAAAAGTAAGGAATAAACCACTCATTGTTTCAATGTTAATACTAGTAGACACATAAGATGAAGGCAAATCTTGGCAAACATTTTTTTCAAACCATTTCTTTTTTAAATCATCAAGAACACCTGATTCTCTCAATGATAATATAATGACATCTAAATCTTTTCCATATAACCATTGTTTAGGATAAGCAATACCATATGAACTCGGAGCAAAATCTGCTCCGACCAGTGTTAAATTACAATATATATTATTGGTAAAATATTCTACAGCACCAATATCCAAAATCGATACATCAATTGAATTATTTAATAAACTGCTATATAATTCATCTTGTGTTTTCAATGGATAATAATTACGAATACCTCCAGAAATTTCACGTAAATAATAATCTTCCTGCGATGAATCTACAAGGATACCAATACGACTAAATGGTACCTTTCCATTTTTGATATCATCAATGCCAGAAATAAAACCCTTTGATTTAGATATGGTTAAATTAGATGCTAAATTTGCAGTATATGTTGCTACTAATACCATGCTTAAGAGATATAAACCTACACTTAATAATCGTCCGGCAGCTGTTTGAGCATGAAAATCAGCACCATATCCCATAATAGTACCAATAGAATACCACAGACTCATTGCAGCAGATGAAATCATTGATCTATTTTGCAATGCTTCGTTTTCTTGTCGTTCTAATATGCAAAGTAAAACAGTAGCATAAACGGTGCACACCAAAAGTGTCAACCATAAATTAAGCGAGAATGGTTTTAAATAGGAAAGAAGATCAAGATTAACAGTTGTTGTTTGTCGAACAATAATTCGTATAGAATTGTCAAATATTGAAGTTGAAAAATCAACTATTTCTCTGCGCCTTGCAGTAACAGTAACGTCTCCAATTGCCACATCGCAAACACTATTTGCCACTGCTTGAACTAATCCACCATAAGTTTGATTTGCTGGTGGATATATAAAATGAGGAATAAATCCCATCCTAGTTTGTAAAATATTAATAAGATCAGGTAGATAACCAATTAACTTGGTTTGATTTTTTTCGATGATATTTGTTTGCATTGTGAATGGCATAGATTCAATAATACATATTCGTAAGTTTATACCTTCAAGTCCAGCATAGCCAGTAGGAGGTACTAATGTGTTACCAGGCCATATGATGACATCAGCTTGTGTATATGTTTTCCAATCATTAGCATAAGACCATTGTAATACTGGCACCAACTCTACACTATTCGTAGAAGGCTGAACATTTCGTATAACATAATAAAGTCCATCTATTCTATCTGTCACACTGGCACTAAATTTTACTGAACCAGACACTCCAAGAAATTCGGTGGTACTAATCATATTGAAAAACGAAGTGGCATTAGAAAAATGACGATCGAAACAGAATGAATTGTTAACAATTGATATACATGGAGAAGAACTATTTGTATGTGTTGAACAAAGTTGTTGCAATGATTGTATCAATGTCCAAGTCGCATCAAATGCAAATAATGCATAATAATTTACTTTTATTGATCCAGGGAATGTTTCAGGCTCATATTGCTGCCAAATCCGATAAGCTGCATTTAATAATGTTACATTAAATGGTGCATTAACAAGACTTCCTATTACTGGTTCTAAAATAAGCATTCCAATTAATTTTCTATGCAATGTTTGATTGAATGAATTCAATGAAACTCTTGAACTTAATATCCATGTGAAACGTGGACCGAGTACATCAAGATTAAGTGCAATTTGTAAAATTAAAGATGTATGATATTCATCAGCCCATAATATGATAATGCGTGTTGAAGTTTTTGATAAAATATCTTTTAAATCATCTCGAATATGTTGTGTCGCAATATCAAACACTACTAAAACACTAACTATCAAATTGTTCTCATTAAATGCATTACTTATTACTTCGGCGCCACCTGATCCAAAGTCATCATTTTGATAAATAATTATGCAAGATGTCCAATTATATCGAGCAAATAATTTTACAATTGCTAATGTAACAGCAGCATCCGATGGAACTGTACGATAAAAGTTAGGATATGCATTTCGATCCGATAAATCAGGATTAGTTGCAGAATATGATACGACAGAAATATTAATTGAATGAGCAAAAGCAGCAATAATACTAGCTTCTCTAGAATATGCCGGTCCAACAATACCAATAACGTTTCCAGTGGCTACTGCTTGACATGTACTTCTCAGAGCACCTATAGCATTTCCACCAGTTTGTGCTGCTTGCCATCCAATGTATTGTCCGCCGATTTTTATATTATATTGTTGTGAAAGAACTAACGCAGCTTTGAACATAGCACAAGGATGAACAGAGAACTCGGTAGGTTCAGATGTGTTTGCAGCGTCGGAAAAAAGACCTAATAGTTGAATGCTCGACATGTTTGGAAGTGACCAAGTTGCTCTTACATAACGTATATTAACTTGCACAAATATACAGGATAATACCCACCACCGGAAACACCACATATGCACCATTAACATTTGACTATAATCTATGTATAATAACAAAAAGAAGCATGAAAAGTAATATCCCTAATAGAAAACCTTGTCGACAAAGCTTTGAAATCTGTATTAAAAGATACGGATATTCTAATTGATCAAAAATTTTTTTCTAAAATTGCTCATATACTTGTGACGAAATGTCTTATGTCGATTCTTTCCACATAGATTTCATGCAACAGTTCTTTTTATTTAAAATGAAAACCAAAATAAGGAATCGCAATTACACAAAACATTTGTGTAATCATATCAATCCAAATGAAACGAAATAATTTATATTAATCCATAC